TTATCTATTGAACAACTGGTGGTTTAGCATATATTTTATAAAACTATAACATTCTAAATCCACATAACTCTAGAGTTTTGTCATAATGGAAAGCATTTTAATATATATGGTTTTGAAAAAGTATATCCGGTGTGTAAAGCTGTTTAGATTTCAACCTATTGAAAACATCTTAAAAGCTGCATATATATGCATGTTAGATTATAACATTATAATCCTTAATCCTCACCATATAGATAGCTCAAGAGATTTGATGAGGTGAAGTAGAAATATTCAACAAGTGTGGAGTGCATATTTTCCCCTTTCATGATGGAGAATTGATTGACTTGTCATTATTATATGAGATTTAAGCCAGCGGCAAAGCTAAGCTAAACTTGAATCTATATATATATGATATTATAGTAAAAATCAAATCTTTGGTCATGATTAACCCTGCCCATATCTTTTGTTCTATGATTGTTAATTAAGAATCATGTGATTCTAAGAAGATGATAATGAACAAGGGCAACTAAGAAAGTTGCATGAAGATTAGATAAGAGAGCCTTATCCATAACATGATACGTATTAAAGTATCACGATATATCATGTGAGAATTTTTTTTTTTAGTGTCTAGTTGCCATTTAATTTCTTTGAGATTATATATAGTTGGTGTATGGCTTAATTTGATGCGGCAAGAATACTTGAAGACTTTACAATCTTGGGATCAGATGCGATACTTCCATGCTTAGAGGCTTGTATCGCTTAAACTCCAAACAATTTGGTGAGAGTGGGGTATCTTGCGACACGTAGTGTAAAAATTGACTTGAAGAAATATTCACAAAATGCCAATCTTGTGTTCTTCGATTTATTACAAGTATCATCATTTCAATGGTTGAATTCTTCCTTGTTTAGTAAGTGGGCTAAGCATTGAGCACGTCTCCTCCGATCCTTAATTATTAGGATAATTTACATTTTTTGTAGTTTTCTTCACGTGACGACATAGATAAAGTCCATGGTACCTCGTCACCACAAGGTAATTTCATGTTGTCCTTAATTGAACACGATATTAGCACTTCCAACTTGTATGCATCAAAAGTAGAAGGAAGGCCCAAAATTCTTAAGAGCAATCAATAACTTCCAAGAAGAAAATTGCAAAATATTGCATTTTATCTTATCCAAATTAAACTTCACAAGATTGTTATATATATGCGGGGACTTAATTAATTAGGTGTCACATGCATCAACATCCACCTATTCTAAGACGACGAATGATCATTTGGCTGGTTCTGAAGAAATTAATTAATTAAGATCTTCAAATTATCTAATATACATCGCAAATAAATTCTTACCTTGATCTCTCTTCTCATATTTCAAAAACATTGAAAAGAAAAAACATAAAAATATATAGCTCCATTTTTTTCTTGATAGCATACTCCACAGTAAGTGTGATAAGATGGAACAACTGGCCGGTTCTTTTTAATTATGTGCAGGCGATGATGTTAATTAATTGTTAGTCTAATTATTAATTAATTAAGCATGTGTACGTACGTGTAATGATGATTAAATTGATAAACAGCTCCTTGAGCTAGCTAGGAATCATCTATCTACATAACAGTGGGATAAATCATTGCACATGGTTAAAGGTTCCTCTAAGAGGTTGGGTCGTCATTGGTTGACAAGAATATAATTTTCATTAGTGAGGGGTCGACATATATGAGAACAAATGCTATTCCACTATGCTTGAATTTTGTTAAAATGGGAGCTCTTGTCTCGTGGTCAAGTTGGTCCTACTGGGCATCGATCGATCTGACCATGTTAATTAAGTTACGTGCATGAGTCATCAACTCCGACCATCACGTTAATTCCCTGTAAAAACGTACTCATCGACTTTGACCGTCACTTTCCTTGTAAAACAACCACCCTGGCCTGTAGAAAATTAAAAAAACAAAACAAAACATGAAGGCTAGCTGAAGGAGCCTGACTACGTACTTCCTCCCCCTCCACACAATTAATGTGCTCCTCAGGATTTAGGATATGCCCAGGGCCAGCACTGAATCCCTCAAGACCAACCAACCAAACGTTAGTGCTTGTGCTGATGCCAAGGGCAAGTCTGTCGGCTAACCGAACAGACGAGTCATTTTTTGACCAATGGTCATCATTACCGACTCGAAGTGCGGGATCAGTCGGTCCCCGTAATTAAGATGACTTCTTGAGCAGACATCTCGATCATACACTCGACCCGAAGCTCACTCGGCTGTCGGGTCGAGAAATCATAAAGACAACTCACGAACCGACCCGCCTCTACTAAGGGGATGAGGTCCAGCTAAGCTCGCTTCAGATGTCAATCGATGCTACAACATTGATCAGTCCCATCAAGATCTCCGCTTTGACAAATCTCGTGCCTAAGCCGCTTATTCTACTCACAAGTTATTTCCCAGGGATCGCCATAATGCTCCCCTGGCCTTGAATGACTCCCCCTCCAATCACTAGCCTCCATCTGGAGGGAGAAGGACGACCAAGTAGTTGGCTTATCATTTGTCCTGCCTCATCTGTCAAATCCAGGATATTGAACAGACATTTCTCTCCTGTACTCAAATGACTTCCCTTTCAATCGTCAGCCGGCATCTGGAAGGAGAAGGACGACTCAGCAGCCTGTCTGCTCACCCCCAACCGCCGCATGTGCATAGTCAAAGCCAAAGGGTCAAACTCTCAAAGGCGACGTGCTATAAAAGGGAGGAAAGAAGGGGGGAGGTATATCTTTTCTGCTGCTACTTCACTAAAGCTCTGATTTTTACCTTTGTGAAAAAGAACTAATAACTCTCAAAAAGTATCCTCTAAGGACCTCAATGGCCCAGGGACTCTCCCTTAAACCCCACTCAAGCCCACTAGCTAACTTCACCGTCGAAGGTATCACGGGGGAAATGAGCCCCGCCCTCCCACGGGTTTCTCCTTGTTTGCGCAGAAGGATCGGGAATTCCAGTCTAAGGATCGGGTATAAAGTCGGATGAGGAGTCGGCCCCATCTCTCATCCTCTTCCTATTCGCCGCCAGCGCGAAGACCAGAACTGCAACCCCCTCGACTGTGTGATATCAGACATCAACAGTAACAAAAAAGAAAAAGAAAGAAATAAGAAGAAGACTTTTATATCATTCCCCAATTTATACGGTGTCATTGAGATGTCACCACATATCCGAACCATCTAGTATGGTCTTGATATATATTTATAATCGAATTTGTACGTAATGGCCTAGATGTGTGTATAATTAGGGGTGGGCAAAAACCCAAAAAAACGGTTCAACCGAAAAAACCGCCCGAAAAAACGGACCGGTTAACCGAACCGAATTAAATGGATGAGAAGAAGTCTCTAAACCGCCCGAACCGAATTAAACCGGTTTGGATCCGGTTTGAACCCCTGAACCGCCCAAAAAAACCGATCCGATTTCTGTTGGGCGGTTTAGAGACTAAACTTATACCTCAAAACTTTTCCTGTTATCATCCAATAGATTCAAACGGCGCAAGGAGCAGTTTCAAGCAATGAGTACAGTAATATCACAGAAAAATATCCTTGAGAACTAAGTAAAGATTCAAATCAATCCAGAAAATTTGTTATGCACATGATGCACTTACAAAAGATGCATATGCTACATTATATGAACAATATCATACAAAACATCACTCCCCTGTATAATTAAATAAACTTAAACTTTAGTTAAAAAATTTCGCAGAAAAGATCTTGAGAATTACATAAGATTCAAATCAATCACAAAATGTGTTATGTACATGATACTTACAAGAGATAAGCATGATGTATTATATGAACAACATCTTTAAAACATCAGTTCTCTGCGTAATTATATCAACTCAAAACTTTATTCTAAAGATGATAACCAATCTAATAAAGCTTTGTTGGCGAGCTCAGGAACCTCATCATGAGGACAATGCCCAGCTTGCAAATTCACAACAGAAGTATTTGGATAGAACTCTTTGCAAATTCAAAACCGAAACTGAACCGAACCGAACCGAACCGAATTTCGGTTGGGCCGAATATTCGTATGAAGGGGAAAAAATCTGTATCTGGATGAGAGTTTTGAGAATCCGAAAAATTCGGATTGGATGCGGATTGGGCATAAAACCGAACCGAACCGAATATGTCCAGCCCTATGTATAATAGATGAAAATCAATAATAAAACTATTATAGAATCAGTACAATCAAAATAAATCAGTTTATATGATCAACTTGTTAGAATTAATATAAAACTATAATCATTGATCCTCATCATAACTTTAGAGTTTTTGTGTAATGGTTAGAAGAACTAAATTTAAGATGGTATCAGAGCAACACAGGTTCAAATCTCACCGGCCACGAATTAAATGCGGATTTTCTAAAAATTGACACTGCTACGTTTGTATAGGTTTCGACCCATAAAAAAGGACGACCTGCGAGGACATGTTAGAATTAATATAAAACTATAATCATTGATCATTACTATAATTTCGGAGATGAACTAAATTTAAGACAACTTAAAAGTATTTCGCATTCTTAATTCTTTCCTTCTGTGTGATTTTCAACCGAAGGCCCCATATTTCTCCCCATGCCAGCTCAAAAAACCAATTCAATACAGCACAAGACCAGAACCCGAGCGGAGGAAGTTAAGGCCGTTTATATCCTCTAGCACACGTGTCACCGCCTCAGCATCTAGGACCCACATCAGACTGCCCCCTCCTACTGCCACGTGGCACTTGTGACTGACGAGAGCAAAATCCCCACACACACACCCCCTCCAAAAAGAAAACAAAGCATATATATATTACTAAGATTCAGTCGACATACATTAGTAAATAATAATTAGAGGATTTCTCGGGATTTAATTTCTTTTTTTGGATTTAGCATAATTATCTAGGTCGGTGAGAGAGTCTAGAGAGAGAGAGTCTAGAGAGAGAAAGTGGAGGGAGGGAGGAGTCTTTAAATGCTGGCCCCTGTTCCCTCTTCCTTCTCCATTCTCAACCTTAGCTTCTTCTTTGAGAGAATTATAACACAGAAAAATATCGTATTTTTCAGAGATGGAGGATAACAAGAAGGCAGCAAAGGCTTTTGTTGACAACTATTTCCCTGTCAAGCAACCAAAATCTAGGTTCCCTGATGTTCTCAATGATCTCTTTCCTCCAAATTCTCAGCAGGTAATCTAGATTAATTTGATCAGTTATCTTAGTTTTTGGGTTATTTGAGCAAATGGGTTCTTGTTGGTTGATTGATTTGAGAGGATATATATCTATATCTATATATATATATATATAGAGAGAGAGAGAAATTCTTATGTTAACTTAAGTGGACCATCCACCAAACTTTCTATACATTGACGATACCTAGGGATCCATGCAAGATATGAAGATTGTGTGTATATGTTTCAAAATTTAAGATTGTGGGTCCCTGTTATTTCTCCTAACCCTTTGATTTGAATTTTTCAGGAGGCTTCAAAGAGGGAGGGATATGGTGGTCAGAGTTCAAATGCAGTTGCAGGTCATTGAATATCCTCATTTTGGCTTTATCGTTAGCTTCTAACTCTATGTACAAACTAGCGTGTGTCGGTAACTGATGATTTAATTATGCGTCTTATTATTAATTACATTAATGAGAAGTATGTTGTACAACAAAAATTTTATAGTCTATAATGTTGAGCAATGTTAGCCAAATTGTTAGGTGTGTCCATGAATTTGAAATTCTACCTTCATTATCTTGTTTAGGGAATTTATCATGCACCAGTGATAATAGTATCTAATTTCTAATAGCTTCTATAAACTAAAGGAAAGAACATATGCAGATGTGAGAGGCTCTGCTCCTAATTATGTGTCAACCATCTAATGTAACACAAAATAAACTCAATTTTATCAAATGCACGTAGTGATACATAGAACTGAATCAAACCTCCTTTTGTTGCTGAGATTTAAGGGTAATTATTAAGTAACTTACTATGGTTTTGTTCAAGGCTTATTCAAGATTATCTCAAATGGAAATTGCATATATTTTCAGATGGCTATTCTCGAGGAAAAGCTAACTCAGTTGTGTATTTTGAAGTGTCAGAACCATGCTCGATGGGCTCATCTGTGGATTATGGTTGCAGAGACAACTATTATCCCAACCGTCAGCCTGGAAATTTTAATGTAAGTGACAAAGTTATGTCAAAATCATATGTTCTCTTTTTTTTAAATATATACGGGATTATGTTCTAAATTTTTTTTAACACATGTTCAGGAGAAGAAAAAGGATAAAAATGATGGCTATGAGTATTTGAACCCCGAAAATTCAAGAGGAGAATGGTGGCAAGGTAAGAATTCAATGGAGGAATTAAATCACAGTAGGGTTGGATTATCAATTATTAGGATCAAAAATTTGTTATCATAATGATATAAAGTGTGGATAACTTTTTCCCCTCTGTGTTTACAGGTTCATTGTACTATTGAAGCAACTATTCAAGACCTTGGTGTTCTATTTAGATAGGAAGAAGGTACTTCAGATCTCTAAGCCTTTAATATGTTTTATTTGTTACATTTCATTTACCTTTATGATTTATTTCTGTTTTTGGATACCACAGATTGTTTACAAATTTGAGTAGATCAAGAAGGGCTACCATAAATATGATTCCTCAACAAAGTCATGTTGATATGATTAACAAAATTTAATAAGATAGTTATGAGGATGGTACTCAAACTTTTAAAGCTATCAGATACCCTTAAAAATATCATCATAGCAATCCTTTCCACTCTGCAATTTTGTTCTGAGGAAAAAAAAAATAGTGAACAAGGCATTCAAAAACTTTTACTATTGAAGTTAATTGCTATCCAAGACATTCACCTTATGCTTAAAATCAACAGTGCATGAATTCATGCCTCATTTGTCTGAACACATTTTTTTGACTGGATGAAAAAACCTTCGTAAAATAATTGGAATATACTCTAATGTAATCTAATTTATCTTAAGGGTTGCAATAAATTTTCTTGTTTCTCAACTGATCTATGGTTTGTTTATGGCAATAGTAATAGCTACGACGGAAAATTTGCTGAAGATAGATGCAGCATCAATAGTCACTACCAAAGAATGTCCAATGGCTCCTTCAAGTTGTTCTCTTTTATCCTGATCAGCTTTTAGTGTGTATAGCAAGTGATAAATGATTAAATATTTACTATGTGTGGAAATGGAGAACTGCATGTGTCGTATCAGCTGTTTTACTGTATTCCCAATATTCACTTGTGGGGATTATGGATACTTTTGTGTGCACTTCAATGTTATAGTAAATTATATAAATAGCAATCAGATGTTTATTATTCAGGTCTCTCATTTTTGAAGGTTATTGATGTTGTTTGTATATAGTTTTGTTCAAAGGTTTGAAGCTTCCTCTGATGTATAGTTTGTGGACATCTATGTTACCTGGGTACTTCTATTCGGAAACTGTGGTCATACCAAACACATACCTGTATCCGTACCTGTACCCAATCTTCTTGGATACTTTTTGAATATATGTATACGTTTATTTAGGCTTACACTCAATTATATAATACATGTTTTAATTTAAAACTTCCGCACTTCTTGGATGTATATTCTAAACCGAGCATATTTGGTCAAAATTTTCTTGATTATCAAATATACCAAAACAAAGTTAGGATCAATTAATCCTAGCCTAGTTTTAGTGGGTTGCGAGACAAGTCCTTGAGTGTTAGGGTTTGATGGGATTTTATACTTCGACCTACTTTCTGTTATCAGTAAAAAACAGAGTATTTAACTGATGTCCACCAAAGTTTGTAGCCACATATTTATTAATATAAAACACATTTTTATATAATACAAGGATCTCTAGGCAATATGAGTGGTTAAAAACTTTGGTGGACACACTATTCTACTTTAAGTGCGCGTCCGATGGAATTTGAGCATGGACGGCTAATAGACAATCCGCCTGCTCCACCGTGTTATTATGGGAATTGTTTTGGGTATATACCCCAAATCCTCCGTGTTTATTAAAACACCTCTCCAATCTTACTGTTTGTTAAACCAGTGGAGGATATAGTAACTCATACTGTTGAAGAATTTTTTTTAAAATAAAAAAACAAGATTTATACTTCCCTCCAAATCATCATCTCATAATTAAGGTCCGAAGTTATAAAATCAGGGAGGTTTATTTCTATTACAAAATCTATCTAATGTTGCTGGATATCGTGTCCGACATGCGCTCGGTCTAATCTTCCGGCAGGAGCCATCGCGAGATTCCGCTCCGTCTGCAAGCGATGGCTTCTGCGCTCGGTCTAATCTTCCGGCAGGAGCCATCGCGAGATTCCGCTCCGTCTGCAAGCGATGGCTTCCTTAATTTATCCTGTACGATCCCGATTTCCATCAAGAAACATCAGCAGGCTCAGGCTCAGGCTCTGGCCCGATCCCTCGGCGACGAACTCTTTCTCTTCTCTTCACTCCCACAATGCAGGTATATATCCATCTCTATGGAACTTGGAAGCGACAACAAAGTCGAATCTATTTCAAATTTTGGGATATGTTCACGTATCAAGTATCCAATTCCGTTGATGATGGAGATTGCTCTGCTGCTACTGTGATGACACCGAACTATATATATAGCGATCGACCCCACCATTCGCTGAACCCATTCTGGCTAAGCTTCCGATGAGCATCGACGGTATTAAGGATGCATGCGATTGATCCACCTGACGGCAGCAATAAGCATTGAGCCGGGATCAATAGACTAAAGCAATTGATTCAAGAGATTCTTGATTTGGCTCTATAGGTGGTAGAAATTGTTAAATAGGTTAAGTGCTTTCGCCCGTGGACATAGCCTACAAGCATAACAGCATATATATATCCCTTTGTTATTTGTATTCTTGATATTTTCTGCATTTTCGTCTAATTCATATTAGTTTATCCTAGGGATTTGCCATAACAAATTGGTATCAAAGCCTCAGCTATTGATCAGATAAGAAGATGATAATAACTACCATGAAGTGGGATAATGAGAAGTTTGACGGTATTTTAGCAAGTTAGGATGATTGCTATATTTACACAAAAAAAAGGGAGTGAGATGGGATTTGTTTAGGAAGATGAAGAAATCATGTGAGAGGATGACTAAAAGAAGTTAGAAATTAATGATTCAGCTTTTCGATAGGATAAGGCTATGGGAGCTCAGGGGCTATATAGTGAATCGTTTTCTTTTTTTTCCTCCCAATTAAATATAAAGTTTTTGCAATTATATATAGTCTATACGAAGGAATTAGTAGGCTATTAAGTTCATAACAAAGCGAGTAATTAAAAGCATGTGGGGCCCACTGTTATTGGGCTGGAGAACTTTGACCATAAGTAAGGCAAACCCAGCCGTCACACGGAAATTAAAAGTAACGTGGGGCCCAACGCATGATTAGTAGGAATAGGATTTTGTTGGTTAATTACATATTGAAGACCTCAAGACCCTTCGCGCGCGAGGCCGGCAGAAATTCCAGGCCGCAGGGTTTTGCGTTTGGGTTTTAATTTTATCACGGAAAGCCTCTTGTGTCCCCGAGGAGTTTGATGGGCAGGATATCTCACTAATTAGACCGTATGCGCTTATGTTGGCCTGCCGCCGTGCATTCATACATGTCTTTGAATAGGTTTTCATTTGTTAGATTTGAATTTTAGTCAAGAGTTGTAGGATGCGGAGAAGTTGTGAACCTTGTAAATGGTCTAAAGTCAAAGTTTTACAGTTGATTATCACTTCATGGAATTTATTGACAAAGCTTGTATCGAACACGCATTATTTTTTAATTGATTAAGTTAATTTCTTATTTATGATGGTAATTATTTGTTTCGTTTGAATGATATCATGTATTGAAATAAATGATTAGAAATAGATGAATATCATTGCTACAGTTGGATGCGAGAATAAACACTAATATTTTAGTGAAAATATCTTTTTAATACCATGTAGCATTCTGTTGCGAGAATAATTTTATTTTTTTAAAAATAAATATTAAATCTTATAGTAACGGTTGTTTTTTGTTGTTAATAGACTATAGCAACGGTAAGGATTTGCTGACGTGGAATTTTTATTATTTTATAAAAATTAATCTAATAGCAACGATTGTTCTATTTGCAACGGGTTTAGAGTGTTGCAATAACGGATTATTTGTGACGGTTTTCACCGTTGTTAATGTATTAGAAACGGTCCATACCGTTACTAATAGGCCTATAAGCAACGGTTGAAACCATTGCTATAAGAGGCTTTTGTAGTAGTGGTTCTCTCTCTACTTATCAGGAGCATGAGAGGTTTGGGCACCTGTGCTTGGATATTCCGCACCCATCTAATTCGAATATACGTGTGCATTCTGTTGTGTTTGTTAGAATTGCTCACCAACTTAGATTGTTCTAGAACAACTTTCTAGAACCCCTTTCTAATAACATCTTACAAAATATCTACCAATAAGTTTCTAGAAGATACAAGTGTATGGCTAGTATTTATTCTTTTAGAAACTTCGTAGTAATGTATGGCTAGGATTAATGACTCTTCCACACGCTTCCTAGCCCTCTTAAACAACTATAAATAGGGGTCTTGAGCTCTCATTTGGACGGGCAAGCAAGAAGTGAGCTTGAATTCTCAGGCCAGGAGAGGGCTGGCATCGATCGTATCCGTGTTCAATGCTCCTATGCAATGTATGTAAAGTGCAGAAAGTGCCTGGATGCAGTTGGATTGAGATGAAGAAAAAGTTGTACGTGCTCTTCTGCGTCTGTTGATGAAACGAAGCCACAAATTGACCGGCTTTCTTGTTTAATTGTGCGTGTGATTGGTTACGGAGATGAAGGAGACGGATTACGTTCCAAGCACGAAAATTGTGCTCTGTGATCTTGATCAAGACGAGTAAGCAGCGCGCGTTTTCTTTAGTGTTAGGCACGCGTGCACCAGTTTCTTACGGTCGAGAGTTGCATAAAAGAAGTTGATCGCTGATCAGTGACAGTCACCCGTAGAGCGTAGAGAACGGGCGTATAAAAGTTGGATTTGGTTTATTTTCTCATGGGCCTACAGGCCACGAGTCTTATTTTCTCTCCTTTTTCATTTGGGCTAAGCCCGATTACAACTAGTCTTGTGCTTTTATCCTCTTTTATAAAATACCTGGAAGTACTATGGGAACTCAGACAAAAGATACAAGGTCAGCTGCATGGTAGGATGATGCGATTGTTGTGTCAAGATTAATGGTGACTTTCAGTTTAATCTTTTGATTAAGCTGGGTATTAACAGCGGATCACAATCATTAAGAGAATTGGCAGGGCCAAGTCAGCCTACTGGAGCAAAGTTTTAATACAACTGAGTTCGCTGTGATGTCAAAAGTCCCTGAGCAATTAGTACTGCGATTTTTTCATTTCTATTTGAAGTGGTCGTCCTTATTAAGTTGGTGACCAGGTATGTTGTCGATTTTCAACTAATATTTTGACCTTAGGGAACAATTATGAACTTACTTTAGTCTCGTTAATTGAGCTCAGATTAAGACTTGTGAAGCGATGCCAACTAATGAGGTCTTAAAACAACAACAAAAGATCTACAGAATCTGCCCAAATCAGCATTTTGTTAGGTTAATTTGTACTTCAAGAATTCCGACCAAATCCGCATTAGAAGTAAGAAGTAGGTTATAGAATTAACTTTCAAAGCTATGGAGTAGGAAGTAGTGGAAATAGCATTTTTTTTGTTTGTTTCATATATTTTTAGAAGTAATGGAAGTAGAACGGAAATAGCATTTTTTTTGTTTGTTTCATATATTTTTAGAAGTAATGGAAGTAGAACTTCTTCCTCTTCATTTACTTTTTTTGTTTGGATAACATTTGGAAATATTATTAGGAAGTAATTTTATCAATGAAAAATTGTTAGAAGTAACTACTAAAGGAAATATTAATAAAAAAAATTATTTATGTCATAATTAATATGCATTTCAACTACTTCCGAGCTACTTCTGAGTATTGAGGATTGGAAAAATATTTTGGAAGTAAGGATGACACGTAGGCGCCACATAAGCATTTAAGGAAGTATTGGAAGTAGGTTTTTTAGAGAACCAAACACATTTTTTTGCTTGGAAGTAGCAGAAGTAGCCTCTACTTCTTTTACTTCAGCTACTTCACAATTATTTCCGTGCAAACAAACATGCCCTTATCTGCAAACCAAACCGAGAACATAATTAGCCCAAATCAGCATTTGGTCTGTACAAAGTAGAAAGCTTCAAGCCATGAATTAAAGTTAATGCCCTTTTTTGGGGGAGGGGGGAGGCACGTGATCGAAGTTCTAATAGATTCCAACACAGCAATTATCCAT